ACGCCACAAACAACAGTAATAGTAGCACCAGCCACACCAACTCCACCAACAACAGAAACAGTAGCAGCACGAACACCACCAACAGCAGCAACACTGTCAACAACTCAAGCCGGCAACAGCAGCGCACGCTAGCAACAGCAACGCACGCTGGCAACAGCAACGCACGCTGGCAACAGCAGCGCATGCTGGCAACAGCAGCGCACGCTGGCAACAGCAGCGCACGCTGGCAACAGCAAGGCACGCTGGCAACAGCAGCGCATGCTGGCAACAGCAGCGCATGCTGGCAACAGCAGCGCACGCTGGCAACAGCAGCGCACGCTGGCAACAGCAACGCACGCTGGCAACAGCAACGCACGCTGGCAACAGCAGCGCATGCTGGCAACAGCAGCGCACGCTGGCAACAGCAGCGCACGCTAGCAACAGCAACGCACGCTGGCAACAGCAACGCACGCTGGCAACAGCAGCGCATGCTGGCAACAGTAGCGCACGCTGGCAACAGCAGCGCACGCTGGCAACAGCAACGCACGCTGGCAACAGCAACGCACGCTGGCAACAGCAACGCACGCTGGCAACAGCAACGCACGCTAGCAACAGCAACGCACGCTGGCAACAGCAGCGCACGCTGGCAACAGCAACGCACGCTGGCAACAGCAACGCACGCTGGCAACAGCAGCGCATGCTGGCAACAGCAGCGCACGCTGGCAACAGCAGCGCACGCTGGCAACAGCAACGCACGCTGGCAACAGCAACGCACGCTGGCAACAGCAGCGCATGCTGGCAACAGCAGCGCACGCTGGCAACAGCAGCGCACGCTGGCAACAGCAACGCACGCTGGCAACAGCAGCGCATGCTGGCAACAGCAGCGCACGCTGGCAACAGCAGCGCACGCTAGCAACAGAAACGCACGGTGGCAACAGCAGCGCACGCTGGCAACAGCAGCGCACGCTGACAACAGCAGCGCACGCTGACAACAGCAGCGCACGCTGGCAACAGCAGCGCACGCTGGCAACAGCAACGCACGCTGGCAAGAGCAGCGCACGCTGGCAACAGCAGCGCATGCTGGCAACAGCAGCGCACGCTGGCAACAGCAGCGCACGCTAGCAACAGAAACGCACGCTGGCAACAGCAGCGCACGCTGGCAACAGCAGCGCACGCTGACAACAGCAGCGCACGCTGGCAACAGCAGCGCACGCTGGCAACAGCAGCGCACGCTGGCAACAGCAGCGCACGCTGGCAACAGCAGCGCACGCTGGCAACAGCAACGCACGCTGGCAACAGCAGCGCACGCTGGCAACAGCAGCGCATGCTGGCAACAGCAGCGCACGCTGGCAACAGCAGCGCACGCTAGCAACAGAAACGCACGCTGGCAACAGCAGCGCACGCTGACAACAGCAGCGCACGCTGGCAACAGCAGCGCACGCTGGCAACAGCAGCGCACGCTGGCAACAGCAGCGCACGCTGGCAACAGCAGCGCACGCTGGCAACAGAAGCGCATGCTGGCAACAGCAGCGCACGCTGGCAACAGCAGCGCACGCTGGCAACAGCAGCGCACGCTAGCAACAGAAACGCACGCTGGCAACAGCAGCGCACGCTGGCAACAGCAGCGCACGCTGGCAACAGCAGCGCACGCTGGCAACAGCAACAACAGAAGAGCGCAGAAGCATAACAAAGGAGCGCGCTGGTCGACTGGAACGCCAACGGAAATAGCACCACCACACGAGGCCGCCGACCCGAGCTGCTCTCCTCCACGTCACCCGACACCTCCTTCCTTCCACCACAAGCAGGAGCTCCACCACAAGCAGGAGCTCCACCACAAGCAGGAGCTCCACCACAAGCAGGAGCTCCACCACAAGCACCACCACAAGCAGGAGCACCACCACCACAAGCAGAAGCTCCACCACAAGCAGGAGCACCACCACAAGCACCACCACCACAAGCAGAAGCTCCATCACAAGCAGGAGCACCACCACCTCACGCACCACCATCAAACGCACCACCACCACAAGCAGGAGCTCCACCACAAGCAGGAGCTCCACCACAAGCAGAAGCTCCACCACAAGCAGAAGCTCCACCACAAGCAGAAGCTCCACCACAAGCAGGAGCTCCACCACAAGCAGGAGCTCCACCACAAGCAGAAGCTCCACCACAAGCAGAAGCTCCACCACAAGCAGGAGCTCCACCACAAGCAGGAGCTCCACCACAAGCAGGAGCTCCACCACAAGCAGGAGCACCACAAGCAGAAGCTCCACCACAAGCAGGAGCTCCACCACAAGCAGAAGCTCCACCACAAGCAGGAGCTCCACCACAAGCAGGAGCTCACCACAAGCAGGAGCTCCACCACAAGCAGGAGCACCACAAGCAGAAGCTCCACCACAAGCAGGAGCTCCACCACAAGCAGGAGCTCCACCACAAGCAGGAGCTCCACCACAAGCAGGAGCACCACCACAAGCAGGAGCACCACAAGCAGAAGCTCCACCACAAGCAGGAGCTCCACCACAAGCAGGAGCTCCACCACAAGCAGGGAGCTCCACCACAAGCAGGAGCTCCACCACAAGCAGGAGCTCCACCACAAGCAGGAGCTCCACCACAAGCAGGAGCTCCACCACAAGCAGGAGCACCACCACAAGCAGGAGCTCCACCACAAGCAGAAGCTCCACCACAAGCAGGAGCTCCACCACAAGCAGGAGCTCCACCACAAGCAGAAGCTCCACCACAAGCAGGAGCTCCACCACAAGCAGGAGCTCCACCACAAGCAGGAGCACCACCACAAGCAGGAGCACCACCACAAGCAGGAGCTCCACCACAAGCAGGAGCTCCACCACAAGCAGGAGCTCCACCACAAGCAGGAGCTCCACCACAAGCAGGAGCTCCACCACAAGCAGAAGCTCCACCACAAGCAGGAGCACCACCACAAGCAGGAGCTCCACCACAAGCAGCAGCATCATGCTGCTGCTGAAGAAAACATGTGGAAACAAGACTATCCCGGACACAGGAGAAGCACGAGGCAGCCCCAAGGACACGTGTCCACACAAACACTTCCACCTACATAACACACTTTTCGTCCCAGCCAAGAAACAGCACTTAAACCACCAACACTTTCTCCACCACCATCAGCACGGCACCACTCCTCCCATTAAGCATCAAAAATGCCACCAGACAGCCTATCAACAAAGCAAAGCAAAACAATTCCCACCCACAATGGTAACAATCAAATCAGCTGAGCTGAAAAAAAGAAAAAACTTCCTTCCCTCTCCTCTTCCTTCTCTTCCCCCTTCCCACGCACTTCTCCCCACGTGTTCAGCATACTTACGCAAATTGCCATTCCAGAAATTAGCGAGTGACAGCCTTCAAGGGGTTGGGGAAAACCTGAGCTTCTGGAAGGAGTTCATCGAGCACCTGAGCAATGAAATCCCCCTTCCCGCTTCCCCCCACCCCCAGCCCACGCTATCTTGCAGACGTAGGTGACGTTGATTGCCTTGATGCAATCCCAGGTGCCGGCCCCACCTTCCTTTCTAACCGATATAGCTGCAATCGATCGCACTTCGTCCCTTGTGCTACCCCTCCTTCCGTCTTTTCCCGGTAGCTGCCATATCGCACCCTATCCGTTCTTGGCGACTCTCCCCTGTTCCCTCTATTCCTTCGTCCGCCCATGGTGGCTGCACACACACACACACACACACACCCACCCCTGGCTCCAAGGCTTTCTGCCTTCCCCTCCCACCCACAACAGCCTTGAAGAGCGCCCGCGCCGGCAATTACATAAATAAGGAGCGGAGGGACACTACCTACACACCGTGTTTTATAATTGGGAGGGTTACACTTGCTGTCTCTTGTAAAGGTCAGAGGTCGGCACGGTGGGTCTTGGAGGTAGGAATACGCTGTGTGAGGGAGAGGGAGGGGGGGGGGGAGTTGAATACCCACGGTGTGTCCTGTGAAGGGGTTGAATACCCATTTGCATGGCCGGCCTTAGGAACTGTGGAGTGCACTTGGGAATATTTTTGGCAGGGTCCCTTCCTTTCTGAGGGGAGTGAGGGGCTATCTTGGGGTTATCTCAAGATAACCTCTAGATACTTCCTCACATCCCCACAGATTCACAGCCAGGGTCTGTTTTAGGGAAATGATTAAATTTTAATTTAAAATTAAAATTAATATTTGTTAAAAAAAATATTAATTTTAATTTTGGATAGATCAAATCACTCAAAATGTAAATGAACGTCATTGTTAGAAACAAATGTTCTTGTATGGATTTCTAAATTTTACTTTTATTATAACAAAAAAAAATTTCGTTCTCGTTTCTTTTTCTACAAAGTCTTTTGGGATTTTAAGTTTAAATCCTGCTAATTTCTCATTCAGTGGACATAATTGCCAAACTATTCAAACGTTCTTGCTGCAGTAATCATCTCAAGAAAATCCGAATCAGTTTCAACTTGGTAAGATACTTTCTCCTGGTGCCACAGTAACATTCAAAGTGGCATTCACCTATGAGCTTCCACGCGTTGGAATGTGTGGAAACGAACGAGCAGTTTATGCTGGCAGCTGAGAACGCTGAAGGAAACCATATTGAATACTTCATACCCAAGACTCTGCTACAAGTTAAGAGCTATCATCAGACATCATCACCGTGACAAGGCAATTGAGGAATGGAGGACAGAAGAACAAATCGGTGTATCTGTACGCTGGTACACTGTGGTTACAGCCGGCACTCCCAATCATTATGGACGAATTTGGAGAGAATCAGTAATAGCGAGAATTCGTCTTGGATACAAATACCCATGGAGATTCGAGATGGAAACAACAGCTGATCAGCGGAGCTGCATAATCTACGGTGAGAGTGATGGACACCGCTTTGACCTCTACTTAAGAGATTGTGCCAATCTTAGAGACATTAGAAATATGTGCAGAATAATTAACCTCACATTGTTTGAGTCAGGAAAACACCATTTGTCAAATATATTGCTCTTAAAAGATTCCTCCAATTTGCACCCGTAAGATATAACGGTAATTGAGGGGTTGGTAAATGTTACTCGTCAAGTTCAAGTTCAAGTATGTTTATTGAGACAAGAAAGAAATATATCTCAAAAAGATAGAGTAGCTTAGACTATTTCTAGCCCCCCCCCCCCCTTGTTACTCTACTTGTTTGATAAACTGGGGCCAGATTCACGAAAAAGTTATGCAAGCACTTGCGAACCAGTACATCTTTCCTCAATCCTTAACGACTTTGGTTACATATATTAAACAGTTTACAAGCATGAAAACTTCCCAATCAACTGTTGTTATTGTTATAAACAGCCTCCTGTTGCTTCGGAGCTTCGCAGTTTTACTTAACAAGACTATAATTGATTACCCTAGCGCGGAGCCTCTTGAGCGCAATTAGCCCAATTTGCCTAAAGTCGCCCCTGCCCCTATATCTCTTGTGAGGGGAGGAATACGCATGGCCGAGATGCTGATGGAATGCGGTTGGCGGTCGAGGTGGAACAGGGGCGGCGGTGCTGGTTGCAAATCGCCGGTGTTGGCGACGGTGCGGTGGCCGAGCAGGTGGGGATCCAGGTGGCGACGGTGCGGTGGCCGAGCAGGTGCTGGCGGTGGTCGTCCTCTCCGCTGGGGCCTTGACCCACATCCTGCCCGGCCGACCGTGACGCCCATACTGAACGATATCCTGTACGCCAGCCGATATCGCATCATTCTGGTGACAGGTGGGGGAGACAAACGTAACGTCCCACTCGCTCCCACCCGCTGGGACATGAGCGTAGCAACATCCCACTCGTTCCCAGATGCTGAGGATAGGGGTCGTGGCAACATCCAAATCGCTGAGTACGAGTTGCAAAGAGGCATAGCACGACCTCATTCTCGTGTGGCCGTGTGAGCAAACGACGCCTCCCGGCGACTGTCCTAAAATCATTTTAATTAATTTGGGAAGGGATTCCCGTTGTAAATACTGGCAAATTGGAAGGGATATTTGTCTGGGCGATTACAGGAGTTCGTGCGGGGCGTCGTTCTTCCCCCTGGTGATGGGTTAATAGTGTCGGAGGCAGCTAGACCCTGCCAGCAACGGATATCATTCGCAACTAGTAATTTCAGTGATCGCGTGTTGTGGGAGGGGGTCGGGACCTTGACGACAGCTGTTCGGATACAGATGTTATAGTGATGTAAGTGTTTGTAAACAGCACACGTGCGCACACTCGCAGCTGCGCAAGCCAGTAAAAGCAGCAGTTCATCCTCCTAAAATGAAAGTACTTGTGATGCGGTCGAGAGTATTTATATGTCGTAATGGAACAGCAGAAAGAAGACCTTTGTGGTATTGGGATTTGGACAAAAGACAAAAGTATTTTATATTTATGTTGCTCATAAAAATCCTTATCAAACCATCCTAGGCCTAATATACTCGCTATCTGAGGCCTACTATAATACATAAATGTCCTATACTATTCCTAGGAATATTTAAGTTTGGTTTTAGGCTTTATTTTTTCCCAGAGTCTATAAAAAAATAGCACGAAAATTGATTGACTGTGGCTCCAGTGCCACATCTTATCTTGAGGTTATCTTGAGATGATTTCGGGGCTTTAGTGTCCCCGCGGCCCGGTCCTCGACCAGGCCTCCATCCCCAGGAAGCAGCCCGTGACAGCTGACTAACACCCAGGTACCTATTTTACTGCTAGGTAACAGGGGCATAGGGTGAAAGAAACTCTGCCCATTGTTTCTCGCCGGCGCCTGGGATCGAACCCAGGACCACAGGATCACAAGTCCAGCGTGCTGTCCGCTCGGCCGACCGGCTCTCTCCATCTTGGTGTATTCGTCTACATAGTTACAAAATGTACTATCATTTCAGGAGGATGGAATGAAGACATACATGCACCATAGCAACTGACATCTGAGTACATACAACACTCGTTTGTGCACGTAAGTACAACGCCTCTATGTACATACACAAACAAACAACGAACTGTAAACCAAGCTACCACACATTACCCAAACAAAACCAACAAGAAAAAAAATGTTACGAACAAACACAGGCTCTCAAGGTAGTTAGCAGAGACACGCATCCTTGCTTGCGTCTCAAGGCATTGTACACAAGGCAATGTACTGCAGCCAATTAGACGCAATACGTTGTATTGCGTCTTCGGAGGAGTAGAACTATATTCGCTAAGGTTTTAATACTTTTATCTCACGAGGAAGAAGCTCCTGGAGGTCACAGTAGACAATGCTGGGAGGAAGAGGCTGGCTATCGTCTTCTCTTGGCGATAACACGCGGGTCTGTGGAGG